CTCCTCATAGGCTGGTTGATAACACGTGGGCGGCGCATGCGCAGAAGGGATTCCCCCCCCGCGCTCTCTGAGGCCACGTGGGCAGCACTGAGTGTAATTAAAGCTGCTAATTACAGGGATTTCAAATGAGCGCTGCATCCCGCAGCGCAAACGCTTGGGAGACAAGAGGAAGGTTGTTCACACACCTCTCCCGCGGTTCCCCCCCCAAGTCCTACGCTGGAAGGGGCATCAGGGAGACCCACCCCCATTGTCAGGGCTTGATGCTAATAATGACTAATTCTGAAATTAGAAGGTTTGAAGGGTTTTTCCTCATCGTTGAAGCTCTACGAACTGCAAGGAGATGGGATATTGCAGTTGGAATGGACCTACAACGATCACCTAGTCCAACTGTCCGACCACTACAGGGCTGACCAAAACTTAAACCACATTATTATAACAACACTATTAATTACCTTCCCTTATTATTATTATTTACCTTCCCTTTCTAGAGAAGGGGAAACTCAATTTCCTTCTCAGCTGTTTAATCCAAATCAGATTTTCCCAGCTTCCATCTCACCTGTCCCATTTTTGCAGCCAGGGTGCAACCAGGTCACCACAGCCACCACATCTCCTCTGATGAGGACAAGAGCAGTGGAAATCTTTGTAATGGAGTCACTCGTGTCTAGAAAGGTCCCTTCTTTCTTGTTTTTTTCACCCAGCAGAGAGGGCTCGGAGCAACACGAGGACAGAGGTCAGCTAAAGGGGCTCGGATCGGGTGTTCCACTGTAGTGCAAAGTTCCGCCGCCCTTCCTGGGACGCAGCCGGCCTCTGCCCATTTTTCTACCCAGTATTAATGAAACACACCAAATCTCACCCCAAAGTTTCATGAATTTCTGATTGAGGTGTGTCAAGAGGGCATTTCCCAAGCCTGGAAGATGTCAGGGCACTGCAGACACAGGTCTAACAAGCTGGACCTTCTAATTGCTGTTTGAAACATAAAGCGGCAGAATTATTTTATGCTTCTTAAATCATTTCCTTTAATAGGAAGTGCTGCTTCACTCTACCTTGTGCTTCTCAAACAAACATCTGTGTTCCAAAAATATACAGTGTACACATACTCTGTAGCTATAGATACAAACATTTACAAAGAAATGAGCAGGTTGGAGCAGACTAGCTGGAAAAAATCTCACACCTTTTGCTTCTGGTCATCCTAGAGCAAGACTAGCTGGGCTCACCGTGCCGTAAACAGAGGAGAGCTGCTGAAAAATATATGACTGAGAAATATTGTACCCTTGGTGATGATATGAAACAACGTGTGTCAAAAAAATTCCCACACACTGTAGAGGTTTGGAGTTTCTGTTGCCTTTTCCCACCCCTTCTTTTTGTCCCTATGATCTGCCTGAGTATCTGCATCCCACATCCAAATCGAGTGCGTCCTCTCTGCCGCCGCAGGGCTGATCCCTCACGCAGGCATCGCTCAGATTCACACCAGGGAGGAAAAACGTGGTTCCAGAGACATTTTGGTTTCATCTGCAAGGCTTCCTGCAACTAAGGGAAACTGGGGATGCTCTACAAGTCTCAGCCTTTTAGCGAATAGGTCGGTATGGGAATGTCATTCCTGGTATAAATGTTTGTACGGGGTGAGCCGGGAGCGCGGGGTGAGCTGGGAGCGTGGGGTGTGCAGCGTGTGCGGGGTAGCCCAGAGGAGGAGTATGGATATGAGGATAAAATCCTGGTGGCAGAGTGCCGTGGGTTGGCTGCTGTACTGGACCTGAGATCACCAGCTGGAGCAGGCTGTGGAGAGAAACACAGACAGGCGTGAGGATTATTATATAGAGAGAGCTTTTGCCGTGGCTCTCCCCAGCCCACAAGGGCCTGGCTCTAAGGACAATTCAGGCAAGAGGCCAGTGATTCATTTATGCTCTTTACAGCTTCCAGAAGACTTCCCTCTCCCCCCATCTTTTTTTAAAAAAAACCCTTGGTTTCCCTTTGCAAAGAGACAAGAAGCAAAGTGCAGCTAAGCTTAGGGTGAGGTAAAACAAGCAGGGAGTTGGGGATGGGACAACTCTGGGGCAGGTTCCACGCTGTAATTTCACTTCCCCCCCTTTCTGTGTATTTGTTCTAATGCAGGCTGGGCAAGATCATCTCCATGGTGGGAGTCACTGAAGTCTCCTTTAGTCAAGAATCCAGCTTGGAAGGGAAGAAGTAGCCAACACTATCTACCACCTTGATCCTTGTGCTAAACTGTGTGTGAATAAAGGCTGATTTCCAGAAAGTAAACACAAATTTTTAGAGGAGGTTTTGTCTCAACAGCCCTCAAGTGCATGTCTTGGAATATGCATCAAAACCAACACAGCTGTAGAAAAGTCTCTTACTTGTTATGTGGTAGCCTGGAGCACACGGTTCTCAAGTCATCTGAAAGAGGACAGGAGACAACAATCAGGGTAGAGCAGAAATTAGAGTGACTTTCCTCTCCACTCTCCTTTCTAGGAAGGTCAGATTACTGAAAAATCTCAGCATCAGCAGATCCAGAATTTCATTCTCAGGTCAAAACTTCCAAGGGAGAGAATGTTTCTCCATCTCATCAGTCCTCACCGCAGCTTCTTGCACTTGACACTTTATTGTACAGCTGACATTTAACCTAAGCTGCCATATGGGAAATGCAGCTGCATTTCAGGGCAGACCAATTCTCAGGACAGAATTTCCAAGATTAATATACGATCAAGAAGTAACTAAGATGCAGGAAATACAAGGTGTGACTCTGCCCACTGAATATGGCATTGATGATGAGAAAGGCACCAGGTCAAAGCAAGGCAAAGCTTACCCAATACCCATTTTGTATTGTTTTGGGTTTTTTTTAAACAGTGCTAGTGTAAAGAAAGGGTTGAGTTTCGTGGGTTTTGGGGGTTTTGTTTGTTTTTTTGTTTGGGTTTTTTGTTTTTATTTTGTTTTTCCCCCTGGGGCCTATTAACTAAAAATTGCACCTTTTTTACCATCTTAATGTCTTTTCCAGAAGATTTCTTGGTAATACCTGTATGCCTCACTTCTTTGTGAGCAGCTCCCACCTCTTCCTTGGTCCCATGCAAGGAGTATTTCTTTCAACTGATTTTCAGATACTGGTGACCAGTTTGTACTTACCTCTCAGCAGCAGAACAGCTAGAACAAAGGTATTTAACAACATAACCTCTTGCTAAAGTTCTTTCAGGAACAGCTTGAGAACAAACTCCTACCTTTGTAGCTAAACACACCCCCAAAACACTGAAATAATTGGTATTTCAGCAGCTACTGAATTACTTTCCACTTGCAAGAGCTTAGAAGGTACCAGGTCAACAGGCAAGAAAAACACACAGTCAAAATAAGCCAACTAAAAATATCCTCCAGGTTTCTGCATGTTCTTGCTACACTCAGAGCTATTTTATGAAAGATTCTAAAGAATAACATTGACATTTGACCAGCAGCACTGGTTCAGCCCGGGGAAAAGCCTCAGGCACTGCTTAGGCAGCGGGGTCTGCACTAAATGCCCAGGCTTTGGGGAGCTTTGAGCCTTCTGGCCACACCAAGAATCCTGTTTTCAAGAGAATTTATCCACAAAACAGCATGTCTGGCTGACCCTGTGCTGGCTTAAGGCACTTCCCTTTTCTGTCTCCGCAGGTCTTTTGGAAAGAACTGGTTTTGGTAACAGGAAAGTCAAATGAAAGCCACATTAGCAGGGTTCTTGGACAAGTTTAACTGCAACTATACAGGCTGTAATGGGGTCTCCTTACAGGAGAGGCCCAGAAGTTCCAGATGGACAGTTTTTGTTTGCTTTTCAAATTTGTCATCTAGCACACCCACCCCATGGTTTATCTACTCCATGGTCTCTCCCTCAGCAGGCAAACTTGGAGAATTCCAACTGAAACACAATTCAAGAGTGCTTTTTAAATTAGCTACAAGCAATTCTGAAGGGCTCAAATTTGTCCCCATGCCAGACACCCCAATATAACTCCCCCTAAATTCTTCAGCTCTGCGAAGCAATGCACCGGTCACCTGCATCAATGATCTGTCCTTACTCCCCATCCAGTTTATTCTTCCTGAAGTATTTCCTGCACTATCACTTCCTAAGAGCAGCAAACTACTACTTCTGCTGTGAACACATTGATCTTTACTCTCCTCATCCCAAAACTCCCACTTACAACATCTACACACTAGAGGAAAAGAATCCTGTGCCAGGGTCTCTGCCAGCCCCACTGACAACTTACCTCTAGTGCACAGGAGTGCTCCCGATGCCATGGCCACTTGCAAAGCCTGAGCCAGTCTGTCTAGAGCCAGTTCAATCTCTTTGGATGCATTCAGAGGATTGAGTTCATCAGATAGTCTGTTAATTTCCTCAACGAGCGGAACCACGTGGTCAAAGGGTACTAACCCCAGGCGCCCGTAAAGGTTCTTCTCCGTTAAATGCCCCTGAAGCATCATAAGAACCTGGAGGACACTGAGATGCAGTTTTGAATACAGCTGGTGGCAATCTTTGTCTTCTCCTGAAGTCGAGTCCTTGGCAATTTTGCTGGGAGGATGTCCATTGGAGAGAGAGGCTTTCTTCTTCCTTTTATAAGCCAAAGGGGCCTTCACGCACCAACGGATCAGTCCAGTCAGCGGGGTGAGCTCTAAAAACCCTATTGGCAGGTTGGCTGCAATAGGAGTGTTTAGAAAGGTGATGAGGATCAAGCGGGGGTCTTCAAAGATCCAGGAAACAATCAACTCGAGCAGATCAGAAGGAGGGATGAGGTCATCTGAAGATAGAAAAGATATTATGGAGTAAGCTGAGCCTTGCACTGGAGCACAGGGCAGCAGTCTTTAAGGAATCTCTCTCACACACCCTTCCTCACTGTCACAATTACAATTGCAAAACCTCCCCAAATCTGCTGGTTTGTTTTTTTTTTCAAGACACCAAAGGTAGGTGCTCATTTGTCCCAGAGAAGACACAACCATGTGCTTGTCAACTTCACCTCCTCCACCACCAAAAGCCAACATTTATCCCTTTCCTTCTTCTGTCATTTTCTTGTCTCCCATCCATCACCTGCTCACTTTTTCTGTAAACTCAGTTTAGAGAACTCTCCATTTATCCCCTGCCACGATGGGCAAAGGAGAAGAATAAACTTGTTGGCATTTCCTTCTCCTCAGCCCAACCATTCAACTCATTTCTTTTAAGACTTACCTAAACAAGCGTGTCTTTGGGGAAAAAACTTAACACAACACCACAATCACATGACAAGTAAAGGGTTATAAGATTATGTAAAGCTTCAAGTAAGCAGGGAAATGTGCTCACGAACTGAAGCTCCACTACAGACAAGAGAAACAGTAATGGTGCATCATCCCATCCCAGGGACAGGCCACTGGACTGAGCAGCGCACTCCCACTGCGCGTTGGGTACGGCGACAAAGGGCTCAGCACACAACTATCTAGTCAGGTTGTTTGCACCTAAAAGGACTTACAGGACAAATCATCTGGATTACAGAATTACTAATATCCACTGGATACAGTATCTTCCAATTTTTAGTATTTCCTGACACCTCCCAGAATCACAGACACTGCTGTTTGTGTGACTGACTCCTGTCCTCGGGACACAGCGGAGACTGTCTAGTTACAGATCCCTCTTTGAAGAGCACGCTTCCTTTTCTTCTGTCACCAACAGCATCTCAAATAAACTCTGGGATTAAAAAAAATTCCTTCCATCTCAAATAAACTATGGGATTAAAAAAAACTCCTTCCATCTCAAATAAACTATGGGATTAAAAAAACCTCCTTCCATCTCAAATAAACTATGGGATTAAAAAAAATTCCTTCCTATAACTCATGTTATTTCCTTTCTGACATGTCTGTTAATTAGTTGGATAAACTTACAAGTGGTTGCACAAAACAGATGTAAAATATTGAGGAAGAATATGCTACGAGCTCTACCAAATACTTAAAAAAAACCCTCTAAGCCTGCATCTCTCACTAGTGCCAAGCTGTTTATTTGGAGGAGACTGGGCAAAACATTTCCTTTATTGATAATAAATAGTATTTGCTTTTTTGGATGCTATGTGATGTTGGTATTTAGTGTATGGTTGTTCCCTACTCTAGCACGAGCTATCTGTCTCTCCTGCTGAGTAAAGGTAAATTAGTCTTTCATTTTAGACACCTCCACGTTGCTAATGTCTGAGCAACAATGACCTGAGACAGGTCACATCGCCAGCTGGTCACACGCACCAGAGGCACGCTGGTGACTGTGTTCCTCATCACTGCTCAACAGAAATCCTGCTCCAGCTTGGAAACATTCAGAATTTGTGTCTCCCCTTGGAATCAGACCGACAGACAGCCCTGAGTCTATCTGCAGTATAGGTGACACACAATAGGGAGGCCAAACCGCCCAGCCCAGGCAGATCAACTTTCCCTCCCAGACCTGCTCAATCACTAAGGTCCCCACGTCCTCTGCCCTCTGTGGAGGACGTTGTTCTTTGTGTCAAGTGTTACGTGGCTACTTCTCCTTCAGCCACTGAGTGGTGATTTTTATTCTCACTCCAGTGACAAAATAAGGCAACAGCCACACCCCTGAGCTCCTTCTGGCAATAATTACATGGTAACAAGCATCTTTAGAACTCTAGCAGTTAATTCTCTTGCAACAGTGAATTTTTCTTGTATTATACTGCACCCCTTACTTTGAAAGGCAGAGTTTGGAAACACTGACCTGAAGAGAGGTCGTAGAGCGCGGTGACCGATGTAATGAACTGGCAGCAGAAGCGAGGGCTGGCGCTGAATATCTGCTTCAGCGTCTGGATGGAGCCTGGCACCAGGTTGCAGTAGTCATCCACCAAGGCTCGGGCTAACCTCACACAGTACACGGCGGGGGTTCGCTGCAGGGGTGGGGAAAGTGGATTAAACCCAGTCACAGAGAGTTCTACAGAGTGGGCTTTAAAGCTCACTCTGCCTGCCCACCTCACCCAGCTGCTTCAGTGTTTCACCATGTGCTTCCACTTTCCCAAAATTAAAGCACACATTCTCTCTCTCTACATATCAAAGACCCACTCAGACAGACATTAAATTGCTATTTCACAATATTAAAATAGATGGGGATATTTAGTGTTTACAATATCTGTAATTTAAAATTTAAACCTTTTATATCAATATTTTAACTTAAGAGATTTTTTTAACTACTACAGCAACACAGTTCTGTAGTTCAACTAGTTCAGTACCAGAACAACTCGTTCAGCAACCTCTCAGTTACACTTGATGTTTTTAATGTGGAAAAATTTTGTGCAATCCTCATGTCACTCAAGAGCCACAATCTCTAAAAAATGACACCTTCTTCTGCTAACCAGGTCACATCTCCTGCTCTCCTACCAAGGCTCCAGGTGGGAAAAGAGGGACTGGCCTGCCTCCTACCACCCTTCCCTCCAGTCTGCTTGTCCCCTTCTGTAAAGCAGGTGACTTCTGCACATCCCACAAAGGCAGCAGGAACAAAGATGCACTTCCCAGGCTCTACAGTGGGGAATCTCAGTGGGAAAGGAGGAGACATTCATGGAAGACAGACACAGGTATTTCATGCCCAAATCTCAAGAGAGAGATTTGCCTCTTCTGCCCTGTACAAACTTGCACATCAGGCAGTTTATTTCCCAAACTCAACAGTCGGTTTCTTTCATAGAATCACAGACTGGTTTGGGTGGGAAGGGACCTTAAAGATCATCCAGTTCCAACCCCCCTGCCATCAGCAGGGACACCTTCCACTAGACCAGGTTGCTCAAAGCCTCATCCAGCCTGGCCTTCAACACTTCCAGGGAGGAGCAGCCACAACTTCCTTGGGCAACCTGTTCCAGTGTCTCACCACCCTCACAGTGAAGAACTTCTTCCTAATATCCAATCTAAACCTCCCCTCTTTCAGTTTAAACCCATTTCCCCTTGTTCTGTCATTAACTGCCCTTATGAAAAGTCCCTCCCCAGCCTTCCTGGAGCCCCTTCAGGTACTGGGAGGCTGCTATAAGATCTCCCCGGAGCCTTCTCTTCTCCAGGCTGAACAGCCCCAACTCTCTCAGCCTGTCCTCACAGCAGAGCTGCTCCAGCCCTCGCATCATCCTGGTGGCCTCCTCTGGACTTGTTCCAGCTGCTCCAGGTCTCTCTTGTGTTGGGGGCTCCAGAACTGGACGCAGTATTCCAGGTGGGGCCTTACGAGAGCGGAGTAGAGGGGGAAAATCACCTCCCTTCTTTGGGCAATGTGACCATGAGCTGCCATGGTTTTGTCCCCTGAGTTGGTCAAACTGATGCCTTTTGACATGCAGAGGTTGGGGAATCAATAAAACTTTCACCAACAGTGAAAAGAACACAAATTTTCTTCTGCCAGTGCAGCTGATAAATAGATTGGCAAAAGCCCTCCCTTGTGCTGGAGCAAAGGAATGGACACGAGCACAGATGTGGGGTGAAGGTAGCTGCAGCAGCCAGCTGTGATATCAGCTTAAATCACCACGGAGGAGCAGCTGACTGCCACCAGCTGCCACTACTGTTGGTGCCACTGCCTCAGCTCACCCGTGCCAGCACACTCCCTTGCTCCTGCCCTGAGACTGTCCTGCCTGCACAGAAGCTCCTGCCCTGAGACTGTCCTGCCTGCAC